ACTGAACTATACAGCGATCAAACTGTAAACCGGTGTGAAGGGGCAGGACAGATTAAATATTGCTGCAAATGACTTCATGATGCAACCGCCAAAGAACATTCATGGGGCTAGTATCAAACGAGGGATGAATGGCTGAATATCAACCATTTGAATACAACGTGAAGGGATAAAGAAAGAAACAAGGAAAAGACCAACCTAGCAAAATCATGCACATATTGCAAGATGTAATCAAAGGTGATGATGTAAAACAGCTGAGCTCAATATGACGGCTGACGTTTCGGGCCTAGACCATTTTCTGAAGAAGGGTCTAGGCCCGAAACGTCAGCCTTCCTGCTCCTCTGGTGCTGCTTGGCCTGCTGTGTTCATCCAGCTCTACACCTTGTTATCTCAGATTCTCCAGCATCTGTAGTTCCTGCTATTTCTGAGCTCAATATGAAGTCTGTAAGGCTGCAGAGGGCTGATTTGAAAGATGCACTACTGTTCCTCAAGTTCACCTGGAACTTCACTGGAGCAGCGCAGAAAGTCATGGATATAAAGCTCAGCACAAGATGTGGAATGAAAATAGCAAACCATTGGATGTCGGAGTCACGTTAGCAGACAGAATCGAGGTAGTCTGCAAAGCTGCTGCTCAAATTTGTGTTTTGTTTCAAGGTGACCACAATGAATACAGTAAATTGTTGAAAAATGGCCAAAGAAATAGCCGTTTCACTCACGAAGTGAGTTTTAGGGCCTTTGCCAGTGAGAGTGGCAGGGTAGTGAAGGAGCAAGTGCTGCATCTCCGACACTTCCAGCAGCTTGTGCCTGTTGCCAACATTGAATACTACTTTCTATTCCACAGATGCTGTTTCTGCCTGTGATATTCTAGCCCACTTCTCAGTCATCCCCAGTGCGCGCACTTCCATGCAAGGAACCTTCATCTTCATTTACTTTTGGTGTGCTGGCTTTGTTTTGATTCGTTCTTTATCCCTTCTTATATTCATTTGGTTTTTACACAGTCCATTCATGTGCTATTGGGACATGCCCTTTGTTTCTGTACTATAGACATTAACTGTCTTGTTGGCTGCTGATTCAGAAAAGCTTTTGTTATTGCCGTGGCATCGATCCTATCACACAGCTTCTCATTTGTTCTCCCCATCTCTAACTTCCACAGGCTTAAAATTTGCAGTGTTTTATTTCTGTTTGGTTCTGAAAAAATTTTGGGTTGAAAACCTTTTAACTCTGTTTCTGTCCTAAGATGCTGCCTGACCTGCTGAATTTTTCCAGCAGCCTTTCGTATTAGTTCAGTTGCGTGTTGAGTGAGTGCAAGCCAGCAATTGAAATTGGATATCTTTTACTGTTCATTCAAACGTATTTTAAGATTTAGAAACAACACACATATTTTTACGAAAGGAAATTCTCTAGTTGTAACTGCCATTTCTTTTGTACTGACAAGTTGGCATTCTCTGAGAAATGTAATGTCCAGAATACACTCTAAGTGTTAATATTCAATTCTGCCCTTTGGAAAGGACAGGGTTTTTAATAAGATATTCAGGACAGTTTAGGGGTCCGGGAAGACTAATTCAACATGCTAGATACAGGGACTGAGTGAATTGTGAGATACTTAGAGAGAGATATAACCTTTGCGTTTTAAGTGCCGATATTTAGCTATACTGCAGGAAAAGGATCTGAGCTAATGAGTTTGTGTAGAAGTTGAGAGCAGTTCAATAGCTCTATCTAGCTGGGGCTCGGAAGTCCTAGGAGAGAAAGAAGTAAGTGCAAGGCTGAAATAAGCTGTACTACTGAAAAGACGACTGAGCTTGTAAAGCACGTATCTCTTTATTTTTCAGTAATTTGATTGTGGACTGAAATTGGAAACAAACCAAAGATTATCGAAGTGCTTGCACTTTTTAAAAGCAAGCTTTCGACACTTACTGCAAGCAAGTACTGTTTATCCTATTATTCAACCAGTGGGGGAGGTTTAGTTACAGATGAACTAGCACCAGGGTGTGTATAAAACAAGATTTGGCTGGCAGCAAGTAATGATTGGTCTGTGGAGTGATGACCAACTGTTGATGACGAAGGCCTTCTGCCTGTCAACAGCTTTGTGATTGGCTTCTGGGTTGCTGAACAGCTTTTGTGTGTGAACAAGATATCAGGAGCCTTCAAATCTCTGAGTGGTGTCGATCTGCAGTTTTTTTAAAAAAAAATCCAGAGTGTGAAGAATGGCATTTTGTTTGTCCTCACCACTTGCTCGACGCTGCCACTTTTAACCAATGAATCAGAGGCTTTATAAGTTGTGAATCAGTTGTTCTGTGCCTTCTGCCAATGAGTTGAAGTACCTGTGGATGAGATTGATGAGCCACAAGTCCTAACAAGCCGAAGAATTCTCAGTGAACCATGCAGACTGGAACTCTCGGACTACATCCCCCAGTTTTTCCCTCCATCCCAGAACACCTTTTTTTGGCCTTCATATGTATGTAGGGGGAGTTTTATAAGGTTATATGTTGATGGTTCATACTTTTTACCTGTTGCTAGAATATATGTATGATAGATAGTAATGGGGCATCATGGTGGCTCAGTGGTTAGCACTGCTGCCTCACAGCGCCAGGGGCCCGGGTTCGATTCCAGCCTCTGGCGACTGCCTGTGCGGAATTTGCGCATTCTCTCCATGTTTGCGTGGATTTCCTCCGGGTGCTCCAGTTTCCTCCCACAGTTCAAAGATGTGCAGGCTAGGTGGATTGGCCATGCTAAATTGCCTGTAGTGTGCTTGTGCAGGAATGTGTAGGTTAAGTGGATTAGCCATGGGAAATGCAGGGATAGGTTAGGGCGTGAGTCTGGGTGGGATGCTGTTCGGAGAGTCTTCAGTGAACTCGTTGGCTGTTTTCACACCAGGGATTGAGGTAATGATTGTTTAAGTACAGTAACTTGGTTCTTGCATTCTGTCAACTTGGGTTTAAAGACAGGTAAATTAGAGACCTTTGCACAGCTTTTTATAAAATCTCGAACTTCTGTGTGACTCTAAGAATAGTGGGGCTTGATTTCCAGCCTGTTACCCCAGCGAGACCTGACAACTACGCAGCTATGTGAAGGCTCAGTGAGATAACTGTTGTTGAAAAGTTGGAGTTATGCTTGTGAATAACTGCTGGAATGCAGTTTCGGAGTTTAGGGGAACTGTAGGCTGAGAGAGAGTGTGAACAACCAGAATAAGAGCAGTCTTTGAGGCAGTCTGTGTCAAAATATCTCTTGAAAGGAAGTGTCAAGGCTAGATCAAAAAAAGAACTGTGAAACTCTTGTGAAGTTTTGTGAGATTTGATGACTTATTGTATCATCAACTTCTGAGAGTTACTGGGAAATCCACTGGATTACTATTTGATGTGCACTAGGTGTGTTTGGTTGCAGTTTATTGCCTACATTTTCCACATGATGATTCTGGATGCAAGAATGAAGTTGTCAATTCTACTACTATTCTAGCATTAAAAAAACCAAGTTTGTTGTTTGTTTAAAACTGTTGAATCTTAATGCTTTATTTTCTTACTGAGTCCCTGGATTTCAACTTTGGTCAACTTTTAGGTTTTTTATAAATGTAATCGAACCCTAACCAGATTGCGACATGATCCCAGACAAGATCTCTCAATTATAACTTAAATTTGTTGGTCTGTTCTAGGATTGTAACAGATTATAGGCAACTTTCTTAGATAATGCTCCTACAGTGCATGAAGGAGGGGTTGTTGTGTTCGATACTATCAGTGTTCAAGAGAAGAGCAGTGAGAAACCATCAGTATTGGGTGTTGTGTAGTAGTGGATCATGGAGGGAGAAAGAAGTTGTAGTACTAAATCACATTGCCCAGATGATCTCAGCTTTGACTTGGGGTATGTGCAGGATTATCTGTACTTGGTCAGGGCACTTAAATACCTCTGCCTGCGCAATGAATGATCTAAAAAGATAAGATGTGGACATATGAGTGAGAACAGCTAGATGCCATCCATGCTGAGTTACATCGTGGAATTTAATGTGAGCTAGAGGTCCACTTGGATGAGATTCCAGACAGTTTATGGCAACCATGAGTATGATTCAACAAAAAGAAGGGAAGAGTGAGGGAGACAGTTTGGAAAAGCAAATGGATCTGAATGAGCTATGGAGGGACATTTTGAGTGTGTTTCAATTGTTCTAACACACAGTCTACACCAATCTAGACCCCTACTATAAAGTCAAGAAATCTAAGTTATAAAGAATGGACTGTTCTGAAATGGTGTAAAATGTCTTTTATTTATGTCTTTGTCACAACGTTTGTGTTTTTTAAAAAAAAAAAAAGGGTTTCACATCTCTTATATAAAATGTTTACATCTTTACAATGATTAAATACGTATTACCTACAAGACAATGTGTTGACATTACCAATGGAAAGTGAATGGGTTATTACATAGTTTTCAAATGATAATAACATCTGCTGGAGGATGCTGATGGCAGTCATGATAGATTGACTTTAAAATGTGTCCACCTTGGTTGCTGCTGTTTTTGTATGAAATTCCAATGTGGTTTTTTTCCCAATAGACCACTATTGCTAATGTACTTCTCTGATTCACTTCCCTCTTGGGGAATGGTTGGTGAACTGTGTTTGAGTTGGGTTGTCGTGTTCTGCTGGAAGTCTTGTTGCAAGTTCAAGATGAGCCCAAAGGGTGTCAGAGGCTGGCACATTACCAATCAGAGGCCTTAGAAATGAAAAAAGGTATCATGATGCACCCAGTCTGGAGGTGATTGCATTCTGATACCCACTGAAAGCACATGTGCACCTCCACAGGATAATTTTAGAAATGGAGCGCAGTACAGCTCGGAGACAAAACCTGTCATATGAATATCATATAACTGGCTGTTTTATGGTTTGTGTCGTATTGGCTACGTCCTGCAGTCAATAAAACGTCCACGCGGATGTTGGAAGAACTTGATATTTTATCACGCACAGCCTTGTACCCTACCCAAAGCACTCCAGGTGAATCTTCCTGCCTTGCTCAATGATGTGACATTGGAGGAGGTTCTGTTCTGTGATATCAATTGCTGATTTGATTGTGCAATAATTTCTGTTGATCTGTGCTCCTGCTGCTCTTGGAGTAAAAGATGAAAGTTCACAACTTCACTAATTTCTTTTTCAGACGCAAAGGCTCTCTGCTTCCTATTTTAAAATCATGTAGTAGCCACCCAAGCTGTCCACTGTAAGGGAACAACACAGCTATGTAACGCAGCAGTGAAATCACAGAAAGGCAAATGACTGTCTGCCCACTGGATTATGTTGTATGCTCCACTTGTAATCACAGGGTTATTTAGAAGTGCCTTTTTACTGTTCAAAGATTAAATTTTCCCTGAGCGAGGTTAGGATCCCAAGTAGGGTTATTAGCTGAAACTTTGAGGGCACAAGCTCTGAGGTAGTAATGGTTCCCATTGGGTACACTGTATGTGTTATAACAGTTGTTCTTCACTAACAGGCAGGACTCCATGCTTTCAGACCTCTCCTGTCCCAGTTTAAGGATACGGGGTAGACTATTCAGGACTGAGATGAGGAGCAATATCTAGGGGGGAGTCTGTGGCATCCCCTGCCACAAAGTTGTTGAGGCCAAGACATTGTGTTCAAAGAGGAGATAGATATGTTTCTTAGGGCTAAAGGGATCAAAGGACCGGCCCCCGGCTCATTTGCCAGCCAATCTCTTCCCCAGTGCACTGGGAATAGAGAGACCAATGGTGACACTTTGAGTGCCAGGTGAATCCTTCTCGCACAAAAAGTGCTTCAAAATGGATCAGCTTAAAGAGCAGCTGTTTTCCCTCGAGACCCACCCTAGTTTCTCCAGGATATTTTTAATCCACATGTCATAATGCACCTCCATGGCTAGACCTCCTTGCTTGGAGGTAAGGACACCACCACTAAATCATAAGCCCATCAATCCTTGTTTATGTATTTTGGTATCGACCTGTTCAGACATTTTGTGACAAACCTCTGGGACATGTAGGAGTTGGCCTTGGGCCTCCTAGCTCAGAGGTAGGGACACTAACAGCACCTCAAGAGCCCTATCCTGCCTCTGTACCCTTACACGTGAGGGATCATGAATTGTATCTGCACTTTGGATCATTTACCTTTCAGTGAGTTAATTATAAAACTGGATTCATCCGCAAGATTCTGAATCATCTGGAAGAGAGATGTACAAAATATTACAACATCATTTCTCCTCTACTCTCTGTTTTATGCTGAAAAATCTCATGATGTGCAACCCAAAACTGCAGCCCCACTTGAGTAGGCACCCAGTAACTCACCTGATCCCCAACCAGGATATGGATCCCAGCTGCTCCCTGTCTGTAGATCTGAAGGATCTGGCTTGGTGAGATGTTGAATAGAGCTGCCAACTTGTTGGTTAGTTCAGCTTTGGTTAGATCTTCCAGGTAGATTTCCTTGTAAACTAGGGAGGAAAATACTGGGGTTGAGGCTTCTTATGAGGAGACCTGAACCATTTTATCTACACAAAAACAGACGACGTCAGTATAATGTACGTAAAGTAGAAACCAATTCATGCTCCAGAGAGATCTTTGCAACTGGGAAACTGCATGTTCAAGGGACTTTCATGGACACTGGATTAGCTTTGGAATGGAATGCACTTCTCCTAACTCGGGAACAGTCCAGCCACCTACTGAGAATCGATATTGTAATTGTCTTGTGCTGTCTATAGTCATATGACCAATTATGTGCCTGAGTAATAAATACAACTATAAATTTTATAAGTACATAAAGAAACTTTTTCTCTGTTGAATAGTCAATCTTGAGCTGTATCCCGGTACACATATTGATAGATTAAAGCCTTTGCCTTGTTTAGACCCCTAACTGTCTCTGTGTTGAATGTCACATGAAAAGCTACAATATAAGGTGAGGTACCTCTTCCTAGATTACTCACAGAAATACCCAGGAGATGAAGCTTTTATTTCCTAAAGCTTCCTGGGCATCCCTTGGGGATGGGGTATAAAGGCCCATGATCCTTCCTCCGCTGCAACAGCCAGGCAGCGAGCCAGTTCTCATTGACCTTCTCAGTCACTGTGGCAGTGCTCCTAACTGTGGTGCTCTGATCCTGATCCGGCTACGTACCACACATGGCGGTATTGGTGGTGTCCTGGCAATCTTCTTTATCCTTTCCCTGTGCGGGCTCCTGACACATATAAACGGTGAGGCGTGGGCGAATGGACCTGTGGACAGAAACGGGATGTCAGGGGCATGCTTTCTAAACTGAACTTCTTCCACTGTCACTTTCAATTTTTAAAAAAAAAACCCTGATTGTGTCTTGCCCCTCTTGTCTCCATGCTCACAATCTTGTGTTACAAATTCCATTCCAGAGACATGAGCGCAAAATCTAAGCTGCAGAGCAGCACTGAGGGAGCGCCGCGCTGCCGGAGGATTGGCGCTGAGAAAGTTATTGCAGCGTGGGAGGTTCAGTGCTGGGGAAGGGCCAGACTGTGATTTCAGATATTGAACTGAGAGCCATTTAGCTTCTTAGGCGTAACCAAAGGTCTCCATGGCAATATTCAGAGAAGAGATAAACCCTTCTCCCCCAGATGGCCTGGTCACTTGATCCCTAAATGAAAAGATTATCTAGTCACTATGATGTTGCTGTTTGTGGGAGCTTGCTATGCACAAGTTGACTGTGATGACTTCTTGTTTTATTTTGGTGTAAAATGCTTCAGGATGCCTAAGGTCATGAAATGGTCGAGATAAATGTAAATTTCTCTTTACTTGTCCTTTCTAACTCTTTAACCTCTTAAAAAAATCCTTCTTTAAAATGTCCAAATATCGCCTTTATATATATCAAAATCTCAGTGTTAGATGTTGTTGAGTTAAGGGTCCTGTAAAATATCCTGGGGCTGTTTTACTGACTTAGAAATTGTACAAAACAACTTGTTGCTGTTTCAGCCTGTTGCTGTTGGGATGGGTGGTGATGCTCATTCAGGATAAATGCCATTGAATAAACTCCTTTCATGTGCAAGAGCTCTCCATTCACTACCATTTTGTTGCTATTCACTTACACACATTTTCAATTTTAACAGTTAAAGTTTACGGTAAAAGTGCTCTTAACGTACTAACTAGGACCAAGAGTAGACCATATGTGGGGATAATGTGGAAAAATGGCATAGCGAGAGATTGTAGAATCCCTATAGTATGGAAACAGGCCATTCAGTCCATCAAGTCCACAGAGACCCTCTGAAGAGCATCCCACCCAAACCCACCCCACTATCCCTATAACCCTGCAATTCTCATGGCCAATCCACCCAGCCTGTAGGAGGAAACCCGTGCAGACACAGGGAGAATGTGCAAACTCCACACGGACAGTCGACCAAGGGTGGAATCAAACCTGAGTTCCTGGCACTGAGAGGTAGCAGGGCTAACCACTGAGCCATTGTACCACCTGTTGTTTTCAAGGCAAGATGCTCAGCGATGATCAGTATGAATGGTGGAGCATGCTGAATGGGGAGAATGGCCTACTCCTGCTCCTATGTCCTATGTTCCAGTACAGCCCCAGGAACCATCATTCATTAAGTTGTAGAGCTGTACATATCCTAAATTAATCTAGTCCCATTTGGCACATATCCCTCTTAAATCCCTCCCTATTCATGTATCCATCCTCATGCCTTTTAAATGTTGGAATGGTACTAACCTCCTCCACTTCCTTTGGTAGCTAATAACATGCATGCAGCACCCTCTGCATGAGAAAGTTGCCCCTTAGGTCCCTCTTAAATTTTCTCCCTCTCAGCTTAAACCTATGCCCTCTAGTTTTGGACTCCCCCACCCCACGGAAAAGGCCTTGGCTATTCACCCAATCCATGCCTGTCATGATTTTATAAACTTCTATAAGGTCACCCCTCAGCCTCTTACACTCCAGGGAAAATAGCCCCAGCCTATTCAGCGCCTCCCTATAGCTCAAACCTTCCAACCCTGGCAACATCCTCGTAAATCTTTTCTGAACCTTTCAAGTTTCACAATATCCTTCCTATAGGAGGAAGACCAGAATTGAACGCAGAATTGCAAAAGTGGCCTAACCAATGTCCTGTACAACTGCAACGTGACCTCCCAACTCTTATAAACAATGCGCTGACTAATAAAGGCAAGCATACCATACACCTTGTTCACTATCCTATCTACCTGTGACTCCACTTTCAGGGAACTATGAACCTGCACTCCAAGGTCTCTTTGTTTAGCAACACTCCCCAGGACCTTACCATTAAGTGTATGAGTCCTGCCCTGATTTGCCTTTCCCAAAATGCCCATGGGATCGTGACTGACCTCTTCTTCAATTGCTCTTTCCTGCACTATCCATGTATCCCCTCATCCACTTGTGCTCAAAACTCTCAACTTCCATTGCAGCCTTGTTTAAATTAGGGTTAGTTAACAAACATAGAATATAACATAGTGTAGGCACAGACCCTGCGGTCCACTATGTCTGTGCTTACCATGATGCCATTCTAAACTAATCCCATCTGCCTGGACATGATCCATATCCCTCTATTCCCTACCTGTTCATGTAAATGCCTCTGAAACATTGCTATTGTGCCTGATTTTACTAGCTCCTCTGGCAGCAAATTTTGAGTTTTAAGTAATTTTAAAAGACAGGTAAGATGCAATGCTGCATTTGCAGTTTTATCTTTGCTTAAAATGGTTCAAAATCACTCGTATACGAGAGAGTGAAACTGGTTTCTGCATTTCAACCTGAACAATCGAATGGAAACCTCTAATACCGGTGGAAAGTCGGCCGACTTTGACAGCAGTCATGAAGTTACGTTGCCTCTAGGGGGCAATCTTTACCTAAGTATAGGTTTGTAATGAAAATGGACTGAAACTGCATAAACGTAATATAGAGGTCTTTAGTCACAATGTTTGGTGAGGACTTTCTTGGATATCCAGGCAACCATGACGAGAAGCCTGCCTCAACTGTTTTGCTTCAATATAAAAAATGTCACAGACCTGCCAATAAACTTTTACTGTAAATCTTAACTTCCTGAAACCAAGAGAAGACCGTTGGTGATGTTAGTGACAAATATTCAACATATCACATTTCTCTCCCCTTTTATTTTAACACTACTATTAGCTTGATAACTTTGTACTGGTTAATGTCACTATTAAGTGAGCAGAATATGCCATAGTTTATGCGAATGAATTATAGATCTGTTGATCAATAGAATAGAATCCCTATAGTGTGGGAACAGGCTGTTTGGCCCAACAAGTCTCCATGTAACTCTGCATTTTCCATGGCTAACCTATACATCCCTGAACACTACGGGCAATTTACCATGGCCAATCCACCTAACCAGCATGTTTTTGGACTGTGGGAGGAAACTGGAGCATCCGGAGGGAACCCACACAGACACGGGAAGAATGTGCAAACTCTACACAAACAGTCACCAAAGTCTGAAATTGAACCTGGAACCCTGGGGCTGTGAGGCAACAGTGCTAACCACAGTGCTACCCCATAGCTGACAGTTCCAGATCACAACGATTTAAACAATGCAGCCTGATGTTACTGATCACTGGGAACAGTGCTCATTTCGATTCTCACTATCTTTTAACCTTTAACAAAGTTATAAAGCCAAAACAGGTCATTCATTCAGCCCAAGTGGTCTAAATAGGTGTTTATATTTCTCATCAGCTTCCTCCCACCCCTTCTTCTAACCTAGTTAGCATAACCTTCCAAATCTTTTCATCCTCAAACATCTCCCTGGCCGCTCAAATGTATTGGGGCTATTCACCTCTGCTTGGATTGGTTAGGATTACATTGCCTGGAGTTCAGAAGACTGAGGGAGGAATCTCATAGAAACCTGTAAAATCGACCAGATGCAGGAAGGATGCTCCTGATGGCAGGTGAGTCCAGAACCAGGGGACATTGATACATAAAAGTCATACAGCACGGAAACAGACCCTTCAGTCCAACTTGCCCATGCCAACCAGATTTCCCAAATTAAACTAGTCCCATTTGCCTGTGTTTGACCCATATCCTTCAAACATTTCCTGTCCAAACGTCTTTTAAATATTGTAATTGTACCAGCCTCCAACACTTCCTCTGGCAGTTCATTCCATACATGCACCACCCTCTGTGTGGAAAAAGTTGTCCCACTGGTCTCGTTTAAATCTTTCCCCTCCCCCCTTAAAGCTATGCCCTCTAGTCTAGTGACCATCTCACAGTTATAAACCTATTTTTGATCTCCCCTACAAGTGGAAATATTTTCTCTGCGTCTCTGCTTTCAGAATCTTGAAGACTAAGATGTGCCTTAGAACATAGAACATAACAGCGCAGTACAGGCCCTTCAGCCCTCGATGTTGCACCGACCTGTGAAACCAATCTGAAGCCCATCTAACCTAAACTATTCCATTATCATCCATATGTTGATCCAATGACCATTTAAATGCCCTTAAAGTTGGCGAGTCTACTATTTTTGCAGGCAGGGCATTCCACGCCCTTACTACTCTCTGAGTAAAGAACCTACCTCTGACATCTGTCCTATATCTATCACCCCTCAATTTAAAGCTATGTCCCCTCATGCTAGCCATCACCATCCGAGGAAAAAGGCTCCCACTGTCCACCCTATCTAATCCTCTGATCATCTTGTATGTCTCTATCAAGTCACCTCTTAACCTTCTTCTCTCTAACGAAAACAGCCTCAAAACCCTCAGCCTTTCCTCATAAGACCTTCCCTCCATACCAGGCAACTTCCTGGTAAATCTCCTCTGCACCCTTTCCAATGCTTCCACATCCTTCCTATAATGCGGTGACCAGAACTGTACGCAATACTCCAAGTGCGGCCGCACCAGAGTTTTGTACAGCTGCAACATGGCCTCATGGCTCCGAAACTCAATCCCTCTACCAATAAAACCTAACATACTGTACGCCTTCTTAACAACGCTATCAACCTGGGTGGCAACTTTCAGTGATCTATGCACATGGACACCGAGATCTTTCTGCTCATCCACACTACCAAGAATCTTACCATTAGCCCAGTACTCTGTATTCCTGTTACTCCTTCCAAAGTGAATCACCTCACACTTTTCCGCATTAAACTCCATTTGCCACCTCTCAGCCCAGCTCTGCAGCTTATCTATGTCCCTCTGTAACCTGCAACATCCTTCCGCACTATCCACAACTCCACCGACTTTGGTGTCATCCGCAAATTTACTAACCCATCCTTCTACGCCCTCATCCAGGTCATTTATAAAAATGACAAACAGCAGTGGCCCCAAAACAGATCCTTGAGGTACACCACTAGTAACTGAACTCCAGGATGAACATTTCCCATCAACCACCACCCTCTGTCTTCTTACAGCTAGCCAATTTCTGATCCAAACTGCTAAATCACCCTCAATCCCATGCCTCCGTATTTTCTGCAATAGCCTACCATGGGGAACCTTATCAAACGCTTTACTGAAATCCAAATACACCACATCAACCGCTTTACCCTCATCCACCTGTTTGGTCACCTTATGTGTTGTGTGGCCACCTGTCAGAACAGAGCAGAGGAGCCATTAATTTGTTCAGAGATTCTGGCAGATGCTGACAGCTTTACCTCAGTCGCAGCGTGTTAAAAAGTCTGATTCCATCTGCTGGGCCGCAAATTTGAATGATGTCGTCGCGCGAGAGTTTAAGTAGATCGGCCCCTAAGGGTTTGAATATGGAACAGTTACAAAACAGTCAAGTAAAAATTAAAGGGTACTACACAAAACGATACAAACTTGGGATGGGATGAGTGGTGGCCAGGTATTAGCATGAATTGAGGATTGAAATAATTAGTTGAAAGGAGAGAGCAGGAATGAAGGAATCAATTCATAAAATAAATGATCACACAAACCTTTCCTAGTCCATTGAGATGTTTGTTTTAAAGCAATCTCCTGAACACAATGCAAGTTTAACTTGTCGCATAGGCAAAAAAAACCTTTCCAATAAATCAAATCATCATATGTTTTTATCCTTCTCTTTAAATAAAGATGATATTTGAATCCTCAGCACTTCTTGCACATTCCTCATTCATTAATCTTTTGTAACTGGTGATAAATATTAGCCAAGTAGATTCTCCTTAAGACTGTTCAGTCTTCCTTATTGTAGACATTGAGAGATGATTTGAAACCTGCTTAGCAACTTTACTCTGTATGTAACCAAACAAGACAATATAAGTCACACAAAGTTTACATCTGGCCTTGAATACCGTGCCCTTATATCTCTGGCCTCCAAGCTCTCTCCATTATGTTTTTTTTTAATTTCTATCTTTGTCTTGTTTCACTGATATTTTTTTTCCTCTCTCCAAAGTTCTTCCTCCTTGTTGCTAAAAGAAGAAACATTTTCATCTTGCCTTCATCAGGACATTTTACAAGAATTCCATTGTAAAGGGAAAACAGCGTTTATACTGGATGAGAGGAGAACGCTGACAAGTGAACTTGGATTGATTGGTGAAGGCATCGCCATGGAGACGTAACCAGATAATGATTGACAGTTAACAGCCAGGTTTCATTAAAACCTTAAACCAGGCAGCTTAAATCTAATTGATCAAGGCATTGCTCTGGGATGTGAACCAGCAAATAGCTGTCACTTATTTTGTCGAGTTGAAAGAATGGTATTCTTGCAAGTTATCCTCTCAAGCGCTAGATGAAAATCTTTAACAAAGTGTGTCTTTTTTTTAGTAATACTCAAGTTCTGCTCTACCAAATAATTATTTGTTCTTCCTTCTATTTTATTTGTTCTATACAGTTCTTGTTCCAACTGTTCTCATAATCTGGTGTTCTCGAGTTATTGTTGTCAACTCTCATCTGATGTAGTACTGGAGGCTTCAAGACAGGAGATCTTTCTGCAGCCCAAACAGACCATTGTGTTGTTTCCAAAATTCCTCTAACTAATTTAAAAACAAACATTCAAAGAAAATGAAATAAAGCTCCACACTTCACTCCTGAGTTGCTAGCTGCAACATCCAGGACATCGACATTAATTTGTGAATACTCCAGAGTTCCCGAAATGCTGACAATTCTATCCCTGTTTCATCCTTATTTGCATTTTCTCTTATTTTTCATCTTGTCCTCGTTATCTCCCTTTCTCTCACTCTTTTCTGGCAGACTGTTATTAATACCATATGGCTGGCAAGGTGGAGCCTTCTGCCCATGGGTTATTGTAATTGCTGTGGGCTACATTCCTGGCACCGCAATCTTCTGACAGGATCTGTGTTTTCTTTTGCCCTCACCTGCTGGTCAGTTCTGAGGTCAAAGGATGGCGCAGGTAATTTGTGGGTGGGAACAATTTCCTAAAATTCCAAGATGTCTTTTCCTTCAGAACCAGTTTGACAGACCAGTTTTTCAAGTTGTTGAAACGGATCGACCTGTTTCACAACTTGAGCATGCTCAATCAATGCTTGGTGGTATTCTAAACAGGGGTGAACTAAACTGGTCAATGCCCCTCCCTGATACTTGCCTTGATGAGTGAGTTTGCCTGTGGCACTGGAGCATTCTGTTCATCTTGTTCTGCTTAGCATGTTTCTTTAGAATTTTTGGTGTCCTGCGCATCTCTTGTCCTCTCATTTTGATCAATCAAGAGGCTTTTAGGACTCTTATGTCGGAAATGCCTCCTCTCAGTGCCCAGGGTGTTCCTGATAAATCTCCTCTAAAGTGCAGTGTGGAGCGTCTGCAGGTCCATGGCTAAAGAAGGATTGTAATGCTGAACTTTTAATTTCATTTGATTGTAGTAGACCCTGAAATGTCAGCCTTCCTGCTCCTATGATGCTGCTTGGCCTGCTGTGTTCATCCAGCTCTACACCTTGTTATCTCTTTTAATTTCATTTCCTTATTTTTCTACTTTGTACCTAGAATTTTGTACCTAGGCACCTTTGTTCATGTGACAATAAAATCTAGTTCTAATTCTAATTCTAACATTGTTATACATTGAGTACAGACAATGTCCAATCATCTTGCAGTCCGGTTATTTAGTTTTCAATTCTTCAGAGATTTCCTGCATTGCAAGACTGACTACATCCTGCAGTACCCTCCCTTTAACAGGTTCACTCTTACTGCTCCTTCACAATCACTAACTTCCCTGAATCCAGGTAGAATTCTACACTTTCTCCATTTCTATGGCTGTTTTTAAGACAATTGCTTTCCACTATTGTACCAAATAGTTATCTTCATCCTAATTCTTAACACAATCCGAGTCTCTCCAAACTGTTTCTATCTGGGGAACGTACTCAAACACTAGAGAAGCTGCCACCCAGGTGGATACAGTTGTTAAGAAGGTGTGTGGTGTGTTAGCTTTCATCAATAGAGGGATTGAATTCAAGGGCCGTGAAGTTATGCTCCAGCTATACGAAACAATGGTTCAGACACATCTGGAGTATTGTGTCCAATTCTGGTCGCCTCATTACAGGAAAGATATGGAAGCGTTGGAAAAGGTGCAGAGTAGATTTACCAGGATGTTGCCTGGAATGGAGGGAAGATCTTACGAGGAAAGGTTGAGAGAGCTAGGGCTTTTCTCTTTAGAACGATGTAGGATGAGAGGTGACTTGATAGAGGTGTACAAAACGATCAAAGGTATAGATAGAGTGGACAGCCAGAGACATTTTCCTAGGGTGGAGGTAGCTATTACGAGGGGGCATAGTTTTAAAGTGAGTGGAGGTAGATATAGGGGAGACATCAGAGGTAGGTTCTTTACTCAGAGAGTGGTAGGGGCGTGGAATGCATTGCCGGAGAGGGTAGTGGAGTCGGCCTCATTAGGGGCATTTAAGCGGCTATTAGATGGGCATATGGATGATAGTATATGGTAGGGGTGGAAGTTCGGCACAACATTGTACTGTGCTGTACTGTTCTATGTTCTATATTCTAAAGAAAATATTATTAACAAATATCTAATCAGATACCCTGGACAAGTCATAGAGTTATACAGCACAGAAACAGACCCTTTGGTCCAACTCATCCATGCCGACCTGATATCCTATATAAATCTAGTCCCGTTTGCCAGCATTTGCCCATATCCCTCTTAACCCTTCCTCTTCATACACACATCCAGATACCTTTAAATGTTGTAATTGTACCAGCCTCCACCACTTCCTCTGGCAGCTCATTGCATACACACACCACCCTCTGTGTGGAAAAAGTTGTCCCTCTAATCCGTTTTAAGTCTTTCCCCTCTCACCTTAAATCTATGCCTTCTAGGTTTGGATGCCCCTACCCTGGGAAAAAAACCTTGGCTATTCACCCTGTCCATGCCCCTAATGATTTTATAAACATCTATTCATATGCTTGCCTTCATTGATCAGTGCATTGAGTATAGGAGTTGGGGTGTCATACTGCAGTTGTACAGGACATTGTGAGGCCACTTTTAGAATACTGCATTCAATTCTGGTCTCTCTGTGAGAAAAAAAAGATGTTCTGAAACTTGAAAGGGTTCAGAACAGATTTACAAGGATGTTGCCAGGGTTGGAGAGTTTGAGCTGTAGGGAGAGGCTGAATAAACTGGGGCTATTTTCCCTGGAGTGTTGGAGGCTGAGAGGTGACCTTACAGGCTTGTAAGTACATTTGCTCATGTTGCTGATACAGTCAATAACATCCTGTCACTTAGTTGAATGTGTTTCTTTAACTGACTTGTGTCTTGAAGATCTCTCATGTTGCCATTTCCATTAATCCATTGGATTGTCAGACCCCCTTTGACCTCTGGCCTTGATCCTCTCATATTCACACCCTTCTCGCCTTCATTCATTTGACCCGTCCACTTTGTCAGAGCCTCTCAAACACTTTCCACATTTGTATTATTCCTCTTTCTCGTTCGTGCCTTCCTGTTTCCTCCCTCTCATTTCAAATTTCCATGCCTGACCTCTTTGTGCGGTTTTCACCCGCCTTTTCCCATTCTCTCCTCCTCACTCATTCCTTTTTGTCAGGCAGATGGGGCTACTGCATTGTTGGTGAGCTGACACATTGGCTGATTTGTTTTAGTTTGCAGTGACGTGCTCCACTGACAGAGTGACAATCTGACATGCCTTGCTTTTGCTCCCTTCAGCAATCTTCTGTAGGCTTTGCACAAAGCCAATGGCCTTCACCAGAAGAAGACCAAAGTATATCTTATCAATTCGACCTCCTGTCAATTAAACCTTAGCTGGAAGCAAGAATAAAATCAACTAACTCTGTGAGATGTTTGCAAGGCTCTAGCCCTGTTATTTTATTAACGTACCACAGCTAAGTGCTCTAACTTTTTATGTTGCCTATACAATAAAAAAAATCAACATTGTAAAGAAACAGAGTACAGACATATAGAGCCACAGAGTTATACAACACTGAAATAGACCCCTTGGTTCAACTCATTCGCCATGACCTGATATTCTAAACTGATCTGGTCCCATTGCCAGCATTTGGCCCATATCCCTCTAAACCCTTCCTATTCATATATGCATCCAGATGGATTTTAATTGTTGCAATGTACATGGCTAAGGACAGGTGTGTAGCCTGGGCTCTTAAGCTTCATTATCAACCCTGTCGAAATTTTAAAATCCCGAACAATCCACTTCGTACAAATTTGCAAAACTGACTGGCAAGAAGTAGCAGCTGGTTGTTCAAACGTGTCCCACATTTTGATGGATAGTCTATCATTACCTAAACACTTCTTCCCCACCCACACTATACATCAATACAGCATCCCCCTCCGAACCCCCCACACCTCCTCATAGTCACCTGCTGCGGTTTATAATCTACAGCAACAGGTGAAAATGCAGCAAAAGAAAAGAACTGAAAGGTCGATTGGACTTCGGAAAATGAACACTGCAGGTGATCAGAAGCAGCTCAGAGGTCTCTCTGTCTCTCCCTCTCTCTCTCTCTCTCACACACCTATACACACATACACACACATCTACACACACACACACACACACATACACACACACACCCCTACACACACACACACCCCTACACACACACGCACACAGACTGTTACCTATAAATCTATAAATTTACACTCACGACTATGTGGCCAAATTCTGCCCCAATTCAATTTACGAATTTGCTGATGACACGACTGTTGTTGGTCAGATCTCAGACAACAAGAAGAAAGAATAAAAGACAGAGATTGAGTGCTTAGTGGCACGGTACAAATATAACAATCTCTCCCTCAATGTCAGCAAAATGAAGGGGTTGGTCATTGACTTCAGGAAGTGGAGTGAAGGGCACGGCCCTGTCTGCATCAGTAGGTCAAGAACGTCAGGTTCACAGGAGCGATGATCACCAATAATCTGTCCTGATCCACCCACGTTGATGTGATGGTCAAGAAAGAACAACAACATCTTTATTTCCTCAGGAGGCTAAGGAAATTCAGCATGTCCACAAGGATCTTACCAATTCTTATAGATGCACTTTAGAAAGCATCCTAACTGGATGCATCACAGCTTGGTTTGGCAACCGCTCTTCCCAGAACCATAAGAAATTACAGAGAGTTGTGAACCAGCCCAGTCCATCATGCAAACCAGCCTCCATCCATTGACTCCATCTACACTTCCTACTGCCTTAGGAAAGCAACCAACATGATCAAAAACCCCTCTCACCCTAGTTACACTCTCTTCCACCCACTTCATTTGGGCAGAAGATATAAAAGTTTGAATACTTGTATGAACTGAGTCAAGAACAGCTTCTTCCCTGCTGTTACCAGACTTATGAACAGAGCTCTCAAATGTTAATTCTGATCTCTCTCTTTGCACCTTCTCCGTGGCTGTAACATTGTATTCTGTGCTCTAGTCTGCTACCTTGATGCACTTAGTATGGTATGGTCTGCCTGTATAAGCACTCAAAAGCAACACTTTTCACTGCATCTCAATACATGTGACAACAATAAATCAATCAATCAAATTATGTCATCTGCCTCACAGTCAGCACACAAAATGCATAGAATGGGCTTCTAATTTTAAAATAAAGGACTTTTACCCAACTTTGAGAACTTAAGTGAAGACTCATAGTCCATAGTGTTTGATACAACACAAGGTTAATCACAGAGAGAAGAGGAGGTCAATCCTAAAGATAAGTCGTAAGTGATGCTCAACTCAGGGTCTTTTGGAACATTGTAGGACGATCTGAGGAGTAAGGCTTTCTTTCATGTTCCCTCAGGACATGGGCATTGCTAGCTGGGCCAACATTTATTGCCGATCCCCAGTTGCCACTCGAGAAGGTAGTGGTGGTGAACTGCCTTCTTGAACCACTACAATCCTTGTGCTGTAGGTAGAATCACAATGCTGTTAGAGAGGGAGTTCTGGATTTTTGACCCAGGGACACTGAAGGAATGGCGATATATTCCCAAGATGGAGAGAGGCTTGCAGGTGGTGGTGTTCATTTGTATCTGCTACCCTTTATCCTTCTGGATGGTACGTGGTACACACTGCCACCATTGAGCATCAGTGATGGAGGGGCTGAATGTTTGTGGGTGTGGTGCCAGTCAAGCGGGCTGCTTTGTCCTGGATGGTGACAAGCTTCTTGAGTGTTGTTAGAGCTGCACCCATCCAGGCAAGTGGGGAGTATTCCATCCCACTCCAGACTGGTGCCTTGTAGATGGTGAACAGGCTTTGGGGAGTAGGAAAATAAACTACTCACTTTTTACAATTTTGAGAAATTTCTGGACAAAGAAGACCGTCCAGTTAAAAACTTGAAGTAAGTTTTTTTGTCCACGACACTATGTATAGACGTACTTATAAGGTATATAGATAAGCATTTCTACATAATAAAGGTAACTAACTCCTTTATGAACTAAGATATTAAAAGTCTTGTGGAAAAGCCATTGCAAATCAGCCGAATGGAAAACATTTCCGGTAGACAGTAGACAAGGCAAAAAGTGACTGCTAACAGAATCTTGTGAATTTGAAACAATGTAATTCAGAGATGACCGTGCATTCTGATACAGAGGGTCAACTGCAAAATGTTCATGGTTTGAAAAGTCGTTTGAACCCTTTGTTGTAATCACTGCATTGTAACAATTGCCAAGATGTGATTCCCCAACACAATAAAGTTATTGAAGACATTTCTTCATTTATTGGTGGGTTGCCACTACCATTAATGCAATAAAGCTCTCAAACCAATGGCCCTATATGGGATCTTCCTCATTTTCTTGCCTGATCTGAATCATCATCTTAGACTATCCAGCTCTTTTTGTCACTCTATCCATTCTCTTCGGCCAATCAGTGAACGGGATTCTTACCTGAGAAATTTGCAAACAGTTTACAAAAGGGTGTGAATCGGTGTAGATGAAGCCACTGCTGCGTTTCCTGAATTGTTAACGTCGGTGACAGATGCTGCAAGACAGAGAGATATCTCGCTGACTAACCAAGATTACCTCATATTTCTAACTGGTGTAAAATTACCACAGTCCTCTCTAGTCAACACAACCTTTGGTTGCTCATACACTCTCCACTTTGTTAATGATGTTGAAGCTGAAGTTAATCCAGCGATACTCTTTGTAGTGATTGGAATGATGTCAGCCTGGTGAATCTCGTAGAATATGAGTTTCCTGATTGGGGTTGTTAATCTCGTCCAATCAGGGAGCCCTGGCTGACAGGTAAGAACAGGAGTGTCAGAGATTCTGCTCTCTCTAGGAGTCAGCTCTGCGCTAGTTGGACCGGTGTCATGTACTGTGCACATGTAACTAAAGGGTGACTTGTGATGGGATACTACCACTCTTTCTTTCTTATTGTTAGTAAAATCTATCTCATTGACCAGGCTTTTTGCCATTTGTCCTAATATATCCTTATGTGGCTGATTGTGCTTTACAACTCTCCTGTGAAGCAACAAAGCATTAAAGGTGCTACGTAAATGCAAGTTGAGTCTTAATGCCCTCTGAGATGGCCTAACAAAACCACTCCCCTTTCACAGTCATGGCCAAAGCATGACATGGATTGTAACCTAAATCGTGACGAGTACAGGATGTTTAGGAATGACCGGAAAGTAAGAAAAGGAGGTGGTCTCTGTTAGTTAATATGGTATTAACACAATAGTGTAGGGTGACCTAAGTTCGGGAAACAAAGAAATGAAAACAGTTTGTGTAGATATTAGAAATAATAAAGATGAGTCACTTGGGGGAGTGGTGCACAAGAGAATTGGTACTGTGTAAATTGTAGGAGCTGTGTACTGACAAGTGCCTAGGACCTAAAGGATATCATCCTCAGATCTTAAAAGAAGTGGCAAGTGAGATAGTTGATGCATTGGTTTTAATTTTCAAACACTGCTTTGTCTTGTGGACAGTCCCACTATATTGGAAGATGGTGAATGTGACTTCTTTATTCAAAAAGGAAGACAGAAAGCAGAACACTACAGGACAGTTAGCTTCACATCTGTCATAGAGAAAATATTAGAAGCTTATTATTAAAGAAATTGTAGCACGGCATTTAGAGAGGTTCAAAGTAATCAGGCAAAGTCAACCTGGTTTTGTGAAAGATCATGATTTGCCTATCAACTGGAGTTCTTTGAGGAAGTACTGGGTGCTGTAGATGAAGGAGAACTGTTAAATGTATTATGCTTAGACTTCCTGAAAGTATTTGATAAAGGTGCTAAATCAAATGTTATTGCAGCCCATTAAGCATGGGAAAACCTGTCAACATCCTCAACTTTATAAGAACTGATGTCTGAGAGACAAAATATACCGTATTGGATTTTTCTTTCCTAATGCCACATGCACATGAGTCCTTCAGATTTTCTTTCCATTCAGGTGTTATACATGTGGATTCATTCAGTTGTCAGACATATACTAACTTATTAGATACTGTATTAGATACTGCAGCTCAGGTTTGTGTGAAGGACAACTCAATGTAGGAAAGAGAATACTGACCTCCATTGTGCTCTGCACTGATCCATCCACCTGATGGTTTGGAGATGAACAGCTCCTGCAATAAACAAAGTTCCTATCAGATATCACTTATGCTTCTTTATGTGTAGGGCTACACTCTACTCCATGTGCAAAGTCAAACCTACTTATCTACAGTCATTCTTCCCCCAATCCCTTGACCTCTACCCAACTGGAAAAGCAGCTGGCATTATTTTTATTCTGTTGTGGGACGCTGGGCCAGCATTTCTTGCCCATCCCCAGCTGCCCTTGAAGGGGTGGTGGTGAGCTGCCTTCATGAACCGCTGCAGTCTGTGTGCTGTAGAAGAACTCACAAGGCCATCAGGAAGGGGATTCCAGGATTTTGACCCAGCGACACTGGAGGAATGGTGATATATTTCCAAGTCAGCGTGGCAAGTGGCTCGGAGGGGAACTTGCAGATGGTGGTGTTTTCATGTATCCGCTGCCTTGTCCTTCCAGACGGAAGTGGCTGTGGGTTTAGAAGGTGCTGTTTGAGGACCTTTGGAAAATTTCTGCAAGCAGCACTGGCTCACAACCCCTGAGACAAAGATGTTTGCCTAATCTCTGTTTAAAATGGGCACCCTCTGATTTTTAGACAGTGAGCACAGATCCTAAGGCGTGGAGCTGGATGAACACAGCAGGCCAGGCATCATCAGAGGAGCAGAAAAGTTGACGTTTCGGGTCTGGACTCTTCTTCAGAAATCTGTTTTTTCCTGTTCCTCTGATGCTGCCTGGCCTGCTGTGTTCATCCAACTCCACACGTTGTTATCTCAGACTCCAGCATAGGCAATTCCCACTATCTCTGAGCACAGGCTGTAGCTTGGCCCACGATAGGAAATATCCCTTCCACATCTATCAAAAATCCAAATCCTCTCCATGTGTCACTCAACACCTAGACTTGGAAAACTATCGCAGTTCCTTCACTATCAGGGGGCTAAATTCCTGAAACTTCCCTCACTAACAGCATTGTGGCTGTGTCCACATCACCCCAAGGACTATAACAGTTCACGATGAGCAGCTCACCCCATCCATTTCCACAACAGATGGGGTCTGGCAATAAATGTTGCCCTAAACCAGCAATGACCAGAACCCAACAATGAATTTTAAAAAAAATGTTCGAGTCGTTCCTGAATATAAGCCCATTCTTTTTCAATCAAAGAAAAGAAAGCTGAGCAAAAATCGTCATGTACTTCAATTTTCACCCTCTCCATTAGACACAGGACAATTAAATACTGCAGCCAATAAGCCAAAAGAAACCCTCAATTTTGGGCAAAGCAATCTATAAAGCTCAAACAATTTAGCAATATTTATACTTGCATTTCTTACCACTTAGTTTGTCTTTTTTGGAACAGGAACAGAGTATGTGTTTGAAAAATCACTGTTCCATCTTTGATGAATAAGTGCTAAGAACCCATGCTCAGCCAATTAGGATTTGTGCAACTTAGTGGAAGCATGAATATCAAATTTATATCTGGTCTTTTTGTCTCTAATGGGCCATCTAAGTTCACCCAAAGAGCCTCAAGGCTGGATTGACATGTTCAATCTGCAAATGTCAAATTCACTTTGAAACAAGGACTTTTTTATTGTCAAATCCTTCTTCATTCCCCATAATTCAATGGGTTTATTCTTCCTTTGTTAGATTTAGGCAATAGGAATTTAGAATCATAGAATCCCTGTAGTGTGGAAGCAGGCCATCCAGCCCATCAAATCCACAATGACCCTCCAAAGGGCACCACACCCAGACTCACCCCTACCCTATCCCTGTAACCTTGCATTTCCCATGGCTAATCAACCTAGCCTACTCATCCCTGGACACTATGGGCAGTTTAGCATGGCCAGTCCACCTAATTTGCAGATCTTTGGACTGTGGGAGGAAACTGGAGCACCCGGAGGAAACCTGCACAGCCACGGGGAGAATGTGCAAACTCCACACAGACAGTCACCTGAGGCTGGAATCGAACCCAGGTCCCTGGCGCTGTGAGGCAGCAGTGCTAACCACTGACCACCGTGCCAACCCAGGCTATCTAATTAATCCTATTCTGCTGCTCTTTTCCCATAGCCCGGTGATTATTCCCCCTTCAATTATTTATCTAACTTCTTTGTGAATGTTACTACTGAATTTGTTTCTATCATCTTTCTTGGCAGTGCCTTGAGTAACTCATTATTTAAAGATCCTTTTTGCTGTAAAATTGTGTTGCTAGTCAGCGTGAATCTGAGTCTTCGGCTTACTTTCTGCCACCTCAGTTTTGATCATGATTTTGCATACCTCTAGCAATGGGTTTTGATGGCCTGAATGACCTTTTAACTTCACCCCATACTTTTGCATGTCTTTACTTCCACTGAACCTGAGTCACAGCTTGTTAAGATTCTATGCAAACAACGAATTCTGAATAAGCACCAACTTACCCTTCTGGAATGTTGAATGGAATCGGAGATGCTGGGCTATAACCTGGGCTTCCAGCCGGGCTAATATTTGTACAGGGTGGGGTGTCAGGCCAAGGAGAACACTAATTGAAACAATGAAGGAATAATCTATGAAGTATATGTCAAGATAAAATCTCCACAACCTGTACAGTTAATAAGGGCTAATGCCTCACCTCAGTTAGCACCGTGGTTTCATATGCTAGCTGGTACTTGGACCTCTCCTGTGGAGACCGTTTCTCTATTTTCTCTTTGTCAGTTTTCAGTTTCCTGTCAGCACCTTTGGGCTGGATTTCAACAGATTATCTCGTCATCATTACATTGCTGGTTATTGAAGCTTGCTGTGTGCAAATTAGCTGACTTTACAATAGTAAACACCTTCAAAAAATGTACTCTTTTGACTGTAAGGCTATTGAAATACAAATCTTTCTATAAATGAGGAATCTGGAACTGACTGCTCCTGCTCAACACCCAGGAAAATGTTGTTCAATGGTCTAGCACTCATCTATTCAATGTTCAAGCTAAGAGAGTCTTTGACTTGGAGCACATTTCATTGGCAATGGAAGTGCTTCCAAAAAACTGATGTCTTGATTCCATTCTCCTGAATGTTTTCAGCATCAGGACCTCTTTAGTTCCTCAGCCCTTTAGGTGTAAGGCTGGGAGTGTTGAAGGCCTATTGGCACATCACAGCCATACCCAATAGCCATACACGAAAGGGCTGTTGTGGTCCAGTGGTAATATCCATACCTCTGGGCTAGGAGACTTGGTTCAAGTTCTAGAGGTGTGTAATAACTTTTCTGATTCAGGTTGCTTAGGCAAAAACAGAATCATACACTGTAGGTCAGCAGTGAGGCATAGGCATTCTGGCTAATCTACATCTTTGTCCTGCAGTCAAATGGGACTTCACTTCTCAGTTTGTTTTAACTTTTCCTTTATTCCTCCCTGAGATGTTGTTGGGAAGACCAGCAATTGTTGCCCTGTAGCCCTTGAACCAAGTAGCTCACAGACCATTCAGAGACCCCTGGCCTGAGAATTGCAGCCTGCACTACGTTATTGGGTCCTATTGTCCCTCCCTGTCAAAGGCCCTGCTTTGCTGTAGACCCCAAGAGAGAGATTTAGTGAGTGTGGCAGATTTCCTTTCCTTAAAATAAAACATCCTGAGCCTCATGGGTTTTTAAACCATAATCAGCGATAGTTGTCATGGTCACCATCACTGATACTAGCTTTGTTTCATTAAACTTGAACTCCACCAGACACCCTGTTTGTGATTTGAACCTGTGACCCCACCCTGGGCCTACTAGGGGAGAAACATTACCACTATACCATAACCATTCTAAGGCCTATATAGTCCAAATCAGCTCAATACCTTGAACAAAAGAAAATAAGCAGAAGCAAAAGGTATTTGTGATGGGACCCAATGGATCTGATGAATCCAAAAGGAGACGATGTAAGAAATATAAATCCATAACAATTGTTCCTAAATTCTTCATCCAACTACACGGTCAGATTGCTCACACAATACAGCAAAATCACGTGCCACATTCTGAAGCACAGAATTCTGCAGCTCTGGGTTGGTTTTTGACAGTGATGAATGGTTTATAACCACCTTCTGTTCTAACTGCCTTGGGAAAAGTTCAGTACCTTAAATACTTTAATCTGACAGCTTGCAGAGTGCAGGTGCTCAGTGTAGTCTCCGTTCTCACTCAGCTTGAAGGTGTCAATCTGAATTCTGAAGGGGACCCCTTTCTCGCCACCATTTTTCCTGGGGGTGAATTCTGTGCTGATGCAGTGAACCTGAAAACGAAGGTGTGGAATTTAGTAACAAGTTTCCAGTCCTGACCGATATTCCTTCATCTGCGGAAGTAAGTCTGTTACTTCTTGGTGCTGGAGTGTGACTAAGTGTCTATAAGTCTCGAAGTGATTTAAATGGAACTCCATTTGCAACGTTAATGGACAAGGACATTGATATGTTGTGCTGGTCAATTATAGAGAGTAGTTAAATATTGGAGTTGGGGCAGCATGGAAGGCATCACAATCTATGTGTCTATCCCACTCTTGGTCTAGATTCTGTAGTTCACTCCTGACTAAAAGTGAGAAATATTCCACTCCTGAAATTGAAGTTATTAAGGCACTGACTGCATGAAAAAAAAATTTCTTTAACCTTATTTTTTAAATAGATGAGATAGTAAGATAAATTGTATTAAAACATACTCCTTCTTTTCTTGTTGCCTGTTCCTAACTGACCTTGAACTGAGTGGTTTGCCAGGACAGTTTTAAGTTACATGTAGGCCAGACCAGGTAAGGATGACCAATTTCCTTCCACAAAAAACATCAGTAAGCCAGTTGGGTTTTAAAAACAACAAATGACAATAGTTGTCATGGTCACCATCACTGATGGTTAGCATTCAATTTCAGACTTTATTAATTGACCATGTACTCTACCAGCTGCCAGGATGGGACTTGAACCTACATCCCCAAAGTGTTGTCATGCACCTTGAGAGTACTAGTCCAGTGACACTATCACATTATGCAACCATCCTCCCCTCTGTGTGTCACTTAATTGTGATCAATGTGGCCTTCAGCTTTGTTGGATCATTCAGTGCCAAAGTTTGTGGAACATTATCTTCTGTGAAGTTGACAAGAAGTCTGTAAAGAGGAAAAGAGGAGACAATGAATTGTTGATATTCTTGAGGCAGGCAGCTCAGTGCTATAACTGGTTGAGTTCCAAAGTGTTGCGCTATGGATTGGTGCGCCATCAGGTTTTGCTGAGTCAGAGACGTTGACGTGATACCAGAGAGGAAAGGAAACCTAAATGTGATTCATAATGAGGGCTGCTTCTGTGCACTATCTGATCATGAGGGTGGATCAGGAATTATAAAACCTAGGAGCAGGTCACTGCCCTCCTAATATGGCCCAAGGAAGCATGGGGAGGAGGATCTGGGATAAATGAATGGCGAGAGGCTTGGGGACAAATATTCTAGAGGGATAACTGTGGGGGAGGGTGACAGAAAGTAGAGTAGAAGAGAAAATTAGAGTAGAAGCAATGCGAAAGGAGAGAGAGTGACATGAGAGAAAGGGAAAGGGAAGAGGATTGAACTGGAGCGAGGAAGACACAAACCTGAATGGAGAGAGAGGTTTGTTTCTTTGGATCCCAGAAAAATTCCGCAGCATTCAGCAGCATGGGGGTTACCCGTGGGTCCACAATTCCAACTGACAGAGGAATATCTGAATTGAAAAAAAATCATTTCGAAAAGAGAGAGAGAATGTCACAGTGTTAAAGAAAACCATAGCAAATGATGGATTAGTCTGACTAAGTCAGAATGCTTCAGACCAAAGAATCATTGCTGGCTGAAGGATAGTAGGCAGTATACTGCAGGTCCCTGTTTCTACGTTTTGATTCAACTGCGGTGAAGAAAATGGCCTTGATAGAAGCCCCCCCTCCACCTTCCTCCTACCGTTGATGGCACCAAGAGAACTGAAGTCGCAAAGCAGTTGCCAATAAACTGCATCATGGAACTTGCTAAATGTACCAATGCAGGACTTCATTCTGAATCTCTAACGCTTCTTGTGATGCCTTGCTGATTGTTTATGGAAGCAGGCTGCTTCTCTGAATGAGCTAAAACCTTTTATTCCTTTGCGACACTGAGCTACTGTATCCCAGCTCTGACGAGCCACTCTAAATCAAAGTGAATTGCTTTTGCTTTTTTTGTAAAGCCTAGGGAAGTTCAGCGATAACTACCACCAATCTGGGAGACAGCAAGCGAGCACAATGCTAGATTGCTTTGTACTGTCTGAACACCCATCCAGATTTATTCACGTTTGGAGCGGAGAGAAAGAAACGGCACAATTACATAATTAGTAGTTTTTATTGGAATGACGATTAATGAGAGCTTGCCCAGCTACTTCTGCCAAAGTCTTGGAAAGGGACAGTCCACGTAGCTGATGGATACACATATCTGTCTAATATTGTGTCCTGCTGTACAGACAATGGTGACAGAAATTTGGTGAGAACTGGAATATTTTCAAGTGTTAAAGATATTTCTGCTTTTCTTCAAAGAATTGCAAACAATTTAATTGCAGAGGATGAGCAAGTCTTTTGTATAACAGTAAAAATGTCTATTATGGGTGTTTTGGATTTGGATTTTATTGCCTGACAGAGTGATCAACACAAATTGAGCAGTAGCTCTCACAGAGAATTGAATAAATAATGAAGGAGAATACCTTGCGGGGAAGTATGGCAGGAGGAGGGGAATGGGACTAAATGGATTGCTATCCAAAATAGTGGGTACAGACTTAATGAGCTGAATGACCCTTCTCCCTGCTGAACTATTCTGTGTTTCTGTACACTTTCCGAGCACTTTTCATTATCTACCAGTCCGTATGCCATCACAGCACATGGCAGTTGGGAATTACACAACTGTTTGCAATGTTTTGTATATATTAACATTTTAATCATACTGTCCCTGTCAGTGAGATATTTGCCAATTCAAGCACATAAGTGGAGAGTTGCAGTTTCTCCAACTATGTTTGCATCAAAAGGACAACCTCTACTTTAAATTCGATTGATTTTAAGTGTACAAGTCTCTAAAGGAAAATAATGTTTTTAATCGTAATGCACCCTGGCATGATCCGAAAGGGTGTGTAAAACTGGCTGATGGGAGTTATAGGTTCGTTATATAAACACTTGTAGAACTCCTTCAATATCATCAAAATAAATTTATCGGTCTCTTATCGCACAGCTGTTTGCCCTCATTGCTGTTTGTGGGATCTTACTATGTAAAAATGCTAAAGTCCCAACAGACTTAGCAGAGCAAAGGGCTGCTCTTTCATTAGAGACAAACAACTGGTGTTGATTTAACCTGGAGGTCACCACACCTCCGGTGAGGGGAGAGGTTGAGAAGCCACACGCAGCCAATGTGAGAATTGAATGAGTGGACCAGCTGGTTTGCGATACAGAGAGATAGAATCATAAAGTCATACGGAAACAACACGGAAACAGACCTTTTGGTCCAACCAGTCCATGCTGACCATAATCCTAAACTAAACTAGTCCCACCTGCCTGGTCCTGGCCCTTATCCATCCAAACCTTTCCTATTCGTGTATCCATCCAAATGTCTTTTAAACGTTATAATTGTACCCACATCCATCACTTCCTCAGGAAGTTCATTCCAAATGCGTACCACTTTCTGTGTAAAAAATTTGCCTCTTGCGTCTTTTTTAAAATCTCTCTCCTCTCACCTTAAAAATGTGCCCCCTAGTCTTGAAATTCCACATCTTAGGGAAAAGACAACACCATCAACTCTAGAACAAAAACAAAATTGCTGGAGAGGCTCAGCAGATCTGGCAGTATCTGTGAAGGAAAAAACAGAATTAACGTTTCGGGTCCGATGACCCTTCCTCAGAACCGGACCCAAAACATTAACTCTGTTTTTTCCTTCACAGATGCTGAACCTCTCCAGCAATTTTGTTATTGTTTCTGATTTACAGCATCCGCAGTTCTTTCGGTTTTTATTTACCATCAACTCTATCTGTACCTCTCATTATTTTATAAACTTCTATCAGGTCATCTTTCAACCTCCTACGCTCCTGTGAGAAAGGTCCCAGCCTATCCAGCCTTTCTTTATAACTCAAACCTTTCATACCCAGCAATATCCTGGTTAATCTCTTCTGAACCCTCTCCAGCTTGATAATATCCTTTCATATAACTGGGCGACCAGAGATGGACACAGTGTTCCAGAAGAGGCCTCATCAATGTCCTGTACAACCTCAACATAACATCCCAACTCCTATACTCAAAGGACTGAGCAATGAACGCAAATGTGCCAAGTGCCTTTTTAACCATCCTATCTATATGTGACACAAACTTTAAAGAATTGTGAACCTGCACCCCCAGGTTCCTGTTTTCTACAACACTACCCAAGGCCCTACCATTAATTGTGTAAGCCTTACCCTTGTTTGTGTACCAAAATGCAATACCTCTCATTTATCCAGATTGAACTCCATCTGCAATTTTTCAGCCCATTGACCCATTTGATCAAGATCCCTCTGTAATCTTAGAAAACCTTCTTCACTGTCTACAATGCCACCAGTTTTGGTGTCATCCACAAACGTACTAACCATGCTTTCTATATTCTCATCCAAATCATTTATATAAATGACAAACAAAAGAGGACACAGAACTGATCCCAGTGGCACACTGCTGGTCACAGGGCTCCAGTCCAAAAAGCAACCGTCCTCCATTACTCTCTCTCCTGCCGTTAAGCCAATTATATATCCAATTGGTAAGCTCACCCTGAATCCCATGTGACCTAACTTTATTAATTAGTCTACCATGTGGAACCTTGTCAAAGGCTTTACTAAAATCCAAGTAAACAATATCTACTGCTCTGCCATCCTCAAAAAAGTCAATCAAGTTTGTCAGACATGATTTTCCTCACACAAAACCATGCCGACTATCCCTAATCAAATTTTGCTCCTCTAAATGTCCACAAATCCTATTTTTTTTATCAACTCCAACAATTTACCCACAACCAAAGTTAGACTCATAGGTCTATAGTTCCCTGGTTTCCCCTTACAACCTTTCTCACAACATTAGCCACTCTCCAGTCATCAGGCACCTCACCCATAGTTATAGATGATGCAAATATTTCTGCAAGGGGTCTAATAATTTCCTCCCTTACTTCCCACAACATTCTGGGATACATTAGATCAGGTCCCAGAGATTTACGCACCTTGATATTCTCTAAGACCTCCTGAACTTCCTCTTCTATAATGTAAATTGTTTTTAAAACATCAAAGTTTATTTCTCTGCATTCTCTGGACTCCATTTCTTTCTCCATGGTAAAAACTGACATGAAATAATCATTTAGTATCTCTCCCATTTCCTGGAGTTCAACACAAAGATGCCCTCCTTGATCTTTAAGAGGTCCTACGTTCTCTGGTAGCCTTCTTGCTCTTAATGTATTTGTAGAATCTCTTTGAATTATCTTTAACCTTATTTGCTAATGCTATCTCGTATCCCCTCTTTGCCTTCCTGATTTCTCTCTTAAGATTACCCCTACACTCTTTATATTGATTAAGAGATTCAATTGAACCAAGTTATCTATATCTAAAATAAAATTCTCTTTTATTCTTGACTAGAACCTCAATATCTTTTTTCATTCATTGTTCCTTAACCTTACCAGCCTTATCCTTCACTCTAACAGAAACAAAAAGCTTCTGAACTCTCAACATCACACTCTGGAATGCCTCCCATTTGTCAGATGTCCTTTTACCTGCAAACAGTTTACTCCAATCAACTTTTGAAAGTTCTTGTCTCGCACCATTAAAATTTGCCTTACTCCAATTAAAAACTTTAACTTTTATGGAAGTCTTATCTCTATCCATAAACATTTTGAAACTAATAGCTAGACCCAAATGCCAGCAGCATGGGTTCAATTCCCACGTTGGCTGAGGTTACTATGAAGGACTGTCCTTCTCAACCTCTCCCCTCGCCTGAGGTGTGGTGACCCTCAGGTTAAACCACCACCACTCCCTAATGAGAGTGCAATCCTGTAGTCTGCTAGGACTGTGATGACCTTACCTTTACCTTTTTGCTATGTGCATATTAACTACTGCATTTTCTACATCCAACAGTGACCTTACCTTTTTTTACATAGCAAGATCCCACAAACAGCAATAAGGACTTATCGCTTTGCAATAAGAGACAACAGTAACTACACTTTAAAAGTGTTTGATTGGCTATATGGTGCTTTGGTACATCCAGCAATCATGGGGTACTATGGAAATACAGGTTTTTTTTTAACAATGACAGCAATGGCACAACCACAAAATCCAATTTATGCCAAGGTCTCTGGCATTTTGCAGCTGTACAGGACATTGCTGAGGCCACTTTTAGAATACTGCATGGTCGTACTTCTATAGCAAGGATGTTGATAAACTTAGGAGGGTTCAGAAAAGATTTAGAAGGATGTTGCCAGGATTGGAGGGCTTGAGCTATAGGGAAAGGCTGAATAGGTTGGGTTTATTTTCCTGGAACGTCGGAGGCTGAGGGGTGACCTTATAGAGGTTTATAAAACCATGAGAGTCAAGGATAGGGTGAATAGCGTTGGTCTTTTTCCCAGGTGGGGGAGTCCAAAACCAGAGGGCATAGGTTTAAGGTAAGAGGGTAAAGATTTAAAAGGGACCTGAGAGGTAACATTTTCACGCAGAGGGTGGTGTGTGTATGGAATGAGCTGCCAGAGGAGGTGGTGGAGGCTGGTACAATTACAACATTTAAAAGGCATCTGGATGGGCACATGAATAGGAAGGGTTTACAGGGATATGGGCCAAATGCTGCCAAATGGACTAGGTCAGATTGGGATGTCTGGTTGGCATGGACGAGTTGGACTGAAGGGTCTGTTTCCAAGTTGTATGACTCTAAGGGTCTATAAACCCAGAAAATGAATGATAAACATGAGCTATTCAGTCATTCAATCCTGTGTAGGATGACTGAGATAACAAAAGCTGCTTTTTGTTATTTCTGTCTCGTTAGTGCCTTCTTGTACGATGAACAACAAAATGCTCTGATGTTATCAAATGTCATGGGAACAAGTCTCAATGTGTACAATAGAAACAAGACGTAAGGTGAGCACAAGTCTGCCTTCCTCCTGTACAGCCAAGTCATTAATCAACACTTGACAAGTTCGAGCATGAAATCTTACAAATACACACTCTGCAACTTTGTCCCGATTTCCATTTTGGGAAATTGTAATGAAGCCTACTGATTGTTATGCCCAAATTCTCAATATGTGCTCTCAAACAGGTAGTGTTCCTCACTGGCTGCAAATCCAGAAAGTTATCCTCATATCTTCACAACAAATCTAATAATATACCAATTATCAGAATTATTCATTAAACATCTTTACCTTCTCTTGCTGCAGACTGGAGGATTCTTGTTTTGTCTCTTTGAGGGAGAACCTTCTATTTGTTATTTGTTTTGTCTTTATTATCTATCACAATGTTTTCAGGCGTTTGCCACTGATAACATTGTCTCTGAATAAGGAAACTCCATTACTAAAACAGAAATTGCTGGAGAAACTCAGCAGGTCTGGCCACATCTACAGAGAGAGAAAGCAGAGTTAATGTTTTGGCTCCATTGGCCATTCTTCAGGACTGGTCACTGGACTTGTAACATTAACTCTGCTTTCTTTTGTCAGATGCCAACAGACCTGTTGAGTTACTCCAGCAATTTGTTTGTTGCTAATTTCTAGCATCCGCAGTTCTTTGTTTTATTTCCTTCCTAAAACCCTGTCTCTCTGTCGTTAAGAATCTAATTTAAACCTACCCTTGTCACCAAATTTTCTGGTCATTTGCCCTAAAATATCCTTTAGATCAGTGGTAATTACTTATTGTCTGATTTCACACCTATGAAGAAACGTGAGTCATTTTACCGGGGTAAAAGCGCTATACAAATGTAATTTGTTGTTGTAAGAAGTTGCTGAATGCCCTTTAAAACTGTGTGCAATTCCTAACAAGCCACCACCATAAATTATGCCCATCTGATTCAGATGAGTCCAGCACAGACCAAGAATCCAATTTTGGCATTAGCAGTTCGGGCGTTCAATGCATTTTTTAACTGAGGCAACTAAGGAACATCTATCTAGGTTTTCTGTAAGATGAAATGTGGGCATCGTTTGTCCCTCTTTAAAATTTGCGGCCCTCCTGGGAGTTTGTAATTAACTGTGTTTTGCTTCTCTGCATTTTCTTTGTTATCCACCAGTGTCACCCAGCACTTGAAGCTCTCTTGTGGCACTGTTGTCTGAGAGGAGCCTCAGCTCATTGTCCACGACGCTGACAACTGTGTGGAACATACCAATATCGAGCAGTCGATCTCCGGGTCTGTTCCATTTCCAGCCCTGGAACTGTTGGTGTTCACTATACTGTAGGCGTCTGTCGTGGAAGACGACCCTTACTATACTCTGCAAAAACAGAAAAGGCAAAGTTGGCTGCTGGAAGGGAGTCAGAATTCCAAACAGTTTAGGGAATATGTTTTCTCCCCACCCAAACTTCTTGATGTGCCAGCTTCCGCCATCTTTACATCCACCAACCCTCTAAGAACACTGAGCCCTTCTAAGTCTGGAGTCTTGTGTAACTCCAGTTTCCTCCACTCCCTCTTTGGTGCCCATGTTTTCAATTGCCTAGACTTTAAACGCCAGAATTCCCTACCTAAACCTTGCCTCCTATGTGGGACTTGGCGTAGCATCTTGCTGTCTGGCCAAAACAGAAACCCTAAATTGTGGGACCCTCACTATGGGAATCCCAAGGTGCATTGCTAGAAACTGATGATTTTAGCCGTGCAGTTTACTACAAGCTCACTCTACTGTTTCTTTTCTTCTTTTTCCACAGATGCTGCCAACATTTTCCGATTTTATTTCAGATTTCCAGCATCAGCAGTATTTTGCTTTTGTGTTGAGTGGGTTCTCTGACGTTGCACACCATATAGATGCATAAATACAGCAGTACAGATGCTGCCGATCTGAAATAAAAAAACAGAGAAGGCTGGTGAAACTCTACGAGTCTTGCAGCATCTGTGGAGAGAGAAGGAAAGTTAGCATTTCAAATGTGATATGACTGTCACAACAGCCTTTGGATTCTGAAAAAGAGTCATACCGCATTCAAAACATTAACTCTGTTTCTCTCTCTGCCGATGCTGCCAGACCTGCTGAGTTTCTCCAACACTTTCTGTTTATATAGCATATAGTTGTGATATGTATGAAGTTGTAGAATGTGTTTTGACATCTATTGAAGCTGTTCCTCAACATCTGCTTGGGACTGTCTGACCCATGTTTCAGCTGGCTTTTCTTTTCAACCCTTTTCAACATAGTTATCCTTTCCCTCTGTGTAGGACTTACCTTCAGCATCTTCCCATTCAGTTCCAACAATCCCCTCATATTTTGATTACACATCATGCGGATCTCATATGATTGACCTGAATAAGAAATGACACGCATGTAACCATAGAACCCATTCACACACCTTCAGATTTCTCTATTACTATTCTGACGTCTTTGGATACACAAGGTGTAAAAAAGTCATATGCACTTGATAGGGCCTGGCGTGTTCTCAGATGGGACAGTGCTATTGGAAATTGGCCTAATTATGCAACATCCAAAGAAGGAAATTAACCAGAGTTCCCACTCCAGGGTCTTGTTGCCTATCATCCGGATCCACAATGCTCCGAGACCTCTGCTCCTCGCGTGCTCAAGTCCCAAGCTCTGAAATTCTCTTCCTAAAACTCTACATCTCTCTGCCTCTCTCTCCTCCTTTCAAACACTTTTTAAAACCTACCTCCTTGACCAAGTTTTTGCTCATTGCTCTATCCTAATCCCCTTGTATGACATTTAGTGCCAAGTTTTGTTTAATGATGCTTCTCTGCAGCCCCTTGGGATGTTTTATTGTGTTCTAGGTGCTATATAAATTTGCAAATTGCTGTTGATTAATCCAAAGGTGGATGATAAATGATGCCGGGATTGAGATTAGCTGTGACTCTATCCCAAAAGCAGATAACTTGGCAACACTCAGATATCCAGGATTCTACCTCAGAATTGCCACCTGTACGCAGTATACAATATCGCCATCAAGGAGACTACAGATTTAGAAAATGAGGAGGTAAAGTTAGCCTGGAAGAAAACATGATTATAATCATGATTAATTTAAGAATGCATAATATGAATCATGAGAAAGAATGCATTAACTCACTGAGTGGTAATGACCTCAAACTCACTGTCCATGAGACTGATAGGATTGATGAAAATCAATGATTTCTAAAGGAAATTCGGGGTGAGCATTTGAGAGGAATAAACCTACAGGATGATGGGATTACAGCAGGGAGTAAATTGCTCTTTCTCTGAGAGAGAGAGAGAGAGAGAGAGAGAGACAGCTGGTATGGATTAGTGGGCTGAATGACCACTTTGTGTGCCTCTTTGACTCTACTCAGCAACTGGAAGCAAATGGGACACCAACTTGCCCAGCAGTATCATCATGTTGCAGACCTTTCACCTAAACAAAGTCTGACTTCAGAGGAAAGATTGAAAGACTAGGGGCTTTTTGCTTTGGAAAGGAGATGATTGAGTGAGGACCTCAGAGATGTGACATGCAAGATAATAAATGATAACCAAATCTAATCCAGAATATGACTTCAGACTAAATGGTAAATCAAAGTGGCCTGGATTTAAATTAGTGAAAGGCTAATTTCCAACTGATGTAAGGTCTGTCTTACATGAAGATTATAGTGGATTTTAGGGAGGTTATTAGGGAGAGGATTCCTTTAGTGAATGCGTGGTGTGCAATGATTATTTAGATGCTTGAGCTCCGATGTCTTTCCTGTTCCTGTCTGTCTTCATGATTCATCTGTTTTGTTCACCACACCTTGGTTGAGGTAAGTGAGTGTCTCCTCATGTAGTTTCACAGCGGGTGATGTGGCTGCACCCAGGACGTACTGGAAGGTGATGGCACTGGCGTCGTGGTCTGAAGAAAGGGCAGAGTCTTCGTGCTTGAAGAGTGGTAACGGCAGCATGTCACTGAAAGAAGAACACGTAGTCACTTCACTGAATGGAGGTAGAACTTTTGCTATTTTTGTTAATATCCAGTGTAACATCAATCCAGTTAACATCCAGTGTTACATCCTTATGGATTCTATCTCTGTGGTGCAAGTTTTCCCTTGAGATCGAAAGAAACAAAGAATTTCCATTTCCATAGCGCCATTGACACTCTCAGGATGTCCCAAAGTGGTTTACAGCTGGTGAGGCATAGAGTCATAGAGTTAGACAGCACAGAAACAGACCCATCAGTCCAACCTGTCCATGCTGACCAGATATCCTAAACTGATCTAGTCCAATTTGCCAGCATTTGGCCCAAGTCCCTTTAAACCCTTCCTATTCATATATCCATCCAGATGTCTTTTAAATATCGAAATTGTACAAGCCTCCACCACTTCCTCTGAAAACTCATTCTTTATAAGCACCACCCTCTGTGAAAGAGTTGGCCCTCAGGTCCCTTTTAAATCTTTCCCCTCTCACCTTAAACCTACGCCCTCTAGTTTTGGACTCTCGTACCCTGGGAAAAGACTTTCTCTATTCAACCAATCCATGCCCCACATGATTTTATAAACCTCTATAAGGTCACCCCTCAGCCTCTGATGATCCAGGGAAAATAGCCCCAACCATTTCAGCCACTCCCTATAGCTCAAACACTCCGGTCCTGGCAACATGCTTTGTAAACTTTTTCTGAACCCTTTCAAGTTTCTCAACATCTTTCCTATAGCAGGGAGACCAGAAATGTATACTTGGTGCTAGATTCCGTAAGGAATTGCTCTGCTCAGAACTCACATCCAGCAGGATCATCCCAGTAGAGCAGAGGGAAATGCTTCAGGGATTTCCTGAAGGCGTCCTTGCTGGTTTTTGGGAGACACGGGCCTGTGACCGGCTCATCTGGGAGAGCACCGAAAACTCGAGGGACTTCATCAGCAAGACTCAAAAGGTGAGGTCGATGTGTCTGAAGGAGCACACAACACCCCCAAACAGCCTGATCTGCCCAACCCATCAGGGTCATAGATTTAGGGTAAGGGGTGGTGGGTTTAAAACAGAGATGGGGAGCAATTTCGTCTCTCAAACGTTCGTGAATCTGTGGAATTCACGACCCCAGAGTGTGTTGGAGGTTAGGACAGTGAATAACTTTAAGGAGGAGATAGACAGGGTAAGGGGTTAAAGGATTATTGAAAGTGGGCCGGAAAGTAGAGTTAAGTCGGAAATGAGATCGGCCATGATCTGGCAGAGCAGATTCAAGGGGCTGAATAGCCTACTCCTGCTCCTAGTTCTTATGTTTTTATGTTCTTATGTCACCTGCTCCATATGTGGCAGAGTTTGTAGATTGCGCATTGGATTTACCAGCAATCTCTGAATATATCAAACCAGAGTCATTCTCAATCCCACCCAAGAAGAAGGAGGGATTTTGAAAACCAGATGCAATTGTAAAGTCCCATACACAATAATACATGAATGATCTGATCTCTGCGGTGTTGGTTAAAGAATAAATGTCCTGCTCTTCAAATTAATGCCATGAGATCTTTAACATAAGGCATGAGGGAAAAAGTTCTTCATTTTATTGGAGGTTGGCTAATGTGGTGAACTGTACACCAGTGAGCCTTACATCAGTGGTGGGTAAGTTGTTGGAAGGATTTCTGAGGGACAGGATTTACATGCATTTGCAAAGGCAAGGACTGATTAGGGATAATCAACATGAATTTGTGTGTGGGAAATCATATCTCATTAATTTGATTGAGTTTTTTGAAGAGGTGACAAAGAAGATTGATGAAGGCAGAGTGGTAGACTTTGTCTATATGGAATTCAGCAAAGCGTTTGACAAGGTTTCACATGGTAGACTGGTCAGTAAAGTTAGATCACATGGGATCCAGGGGGAGCTAGCCAATTGGATATAAAATTGGCTTGATGGTAGGAGACAGAGGGTGGGGGTAAAGGGTTGCTTTGGTAGCGGAGTGCCGCAAGGTTTGGTGCTGGGCCCACTGCTTTTTGTCATTTATATAAGTGATTTGGATATGAATATAGGAGCATGGTTAATAAATTTGCAGATGACACCAAAATAGGCAGTGTAGTGGACAGCGAAGGAGATTATCTCAGAGTAAAACAGGACCTTGATCAGGTGGGTCAGTGGGCCGAGGGGTGGCAGATGGCGTTTAACTGAGATAAATGTGAGGGTGTTACATTTTGGAAAGGCAAATCAGGGCAGGACTTATACAGTTAATAGTAGAACCCTGGGGAGTATTGTTGAACAAAGAGATCAAGGGTTGCAGGTGCACAGTTCCTCGAAAGTGGAATTGCAGTTGACAGGGTGGCAAAGAAGGCATTTGGTACTCTTTCCATCATTGGTTAGAACATTGAGTACAGGGGTCGGCATGTCATGTTGCAACTGTACAGGACGTTGGAGAGACCACTTTTGGGATGTTGTGTACAGTTCTGGTCGTCATTCTAAGGGAAAAATGTTGTTAAACTTGAAATGGTGCAGAAAAGATTTACAAGGATGTTACCAGGACTGGAAGGTTTGAACCTTAGGGAGAGGCTGAGTAGGTGGGGCTTTTTTCTCTGGTGCATCCCAGGCTGAGGGATAACATTATTGAGGTTTATAAAATCATGAGGAACATGCAAAGGGTGAATAGCCAAGGTATTTTTCCTGGGGTGGGGGAGTCCAAAACTCGAGGGCATAGCTTTAAGGTGAGAGGAGAAAGATTGGCAATGTTTTCGTGCAGAGTGTGGTGCATATATAGAATGAGCTGCCAGAGGAAGTGGTGGAGATGGATACTATTACAACATTTAAAAGGCATGTGGATAGGTACATGAATAGGAAGAATTTAGAGAGATTTTTTTTCAAATGCTGGCAAATGGGACTAGGTCAGATTGGGAAGTCTGGTCAGCATGGATGAGTTGGAGCAAAGGTCTGTTCCATGCTGTACAACTCTATGACTCTATTGTTCTATTTGAAAAACAATAGCTCTGTCAGTGAGGGATTTCTCAGTGATGTGCTGGAGTCCCAGCCTAGATTGAAGCATTGTCTGTTTCTTTAAATTGGCAGAGCAACACTGCTCTTGCAGGAAAGCTGTGCTTTTAGCTTCGATGACAGCTTGGTGAGCTGTGTCTGGAAACGCAATGGAAGCAGGTTCAGTAATAACTTCAACAAGTAAATTAGATAATATTTAAAATGCAAGAAATTTCAGGAATTTCTGGAGAAAGAGCACGGGAGAAAATCTAATTTGAGAGCTCTTTTAAAGAGCTAGTACAGGTATGACAGGCTGAATGGCCTCCTGCATAGCTGATTCCATGTTGCTGAATCATGGACTGGACAGTTTTAATGTTCAATCTCTTGTTTGTCCCAGGGTGATCCTGGAGGTGTCTCACTTCAGCTCAGTGTCCATAGGGCAAGAGGAAAAGTGAGCACTTAGCTACCACAGTGGAATGCTGACACCTAACCGCATAGGAACCAACCAAATTGAGCTCTGTTGTGCTGCAGCTACAGTTGAATAGCCCAGCTAGTCCTCATTGTCTAGGATCAAACAAGAAGAATGGGACTTGGGACTAGGTAACAGAGAACGCATACAGAACCTTACACTGGTAAGTAATAAGATCTTCGGGAGACGATGAGAGACATTTTCTAAAACCAAAATGTATAGCGAGAATTTAAAAGAAAATGATTCAATCAGTTTCCAAATAAGTGCTCAAGGACCCGTACATCTCAAATCATAATTCTCATTAATTAACACCTCAATGTGTTTACGAGAAATTCTTGATCTCTTCTCAAGACAAATTTCTTTCAACCAACATATTTTAATGAAATCTTTTGCAGAATTATTAAAACTTTGTACGTCTGCAATTGAGGATAATTCTGAACTAAAATATATTAAAATGAACATATCTATCCATAATGCATTTAACTTGTTGAATTTTTAAGTTTGAGACGAAGCAAATCTTCTCGGCCAATATTCCAGGGTGGCAATGAGGGGACCCTGCACTTTGGAAGTGATGTCTTTCAGATAAGGCACTGGGAACATGGATAATCTCATAATTTATTTTATTGCTGTTTGTGTGAGCTTGTTATAAACAGACTGACTGCTGCATCTCTTACATTGCACTGATGACTACACATTGAATATAGTCACTTGTAATAAAGTGCTTCAAATGCGGAATTTTTAAACTCACTTTACCCCTTAACCTTCTAAATTCCAGAGAGTGTGATCTTGGCTTGTTTTATTTCTTCTCATAACTTGGACTTTGGGGCACAATGATCATTCAAGTAAATCTGCACTACTCTCCCTCCAAGACCAATATATCCTTCCTAAAGGCAGTATTCGGGGCTGCTCACAGTGCTTAGGGCTAAACTGGATCTTTAGGTTTCATATGAACTATAATGACAAACAGTAGAGTCTTGGTTTAATAAATTATTTAAAGGATGACTCCTCCACCTGCAGCACTCACTCACTCACTGCTGCATTGCAGTATCAGTTTAAGTGATGTGCTGAAATTCCACAGTGGGAATTAAACCAGCAACATATTTGACCCAAGAGCAAAATGACAACCTTGACTTTAATTTGCATGTAAATAGCACTTAAAGAAATCTACTGTGGTATTCATTATGAAAGCAGAGACTTGTATTTATACAGCTCCTTTCATGACTACTGGATGTTCCAAAGTGCATTACAGCCAACAAAGTATTTTTGAAGTACAGGCATCATAATGTAATGAAATAACGGCAACCCATTTGCATTGCACACACTCAAGTCCCACAAACAGCAATGTGGTAACGACCAGATCTGTTTCTGTGATACTGATTTAAACTTAAATATTGACCAGGATGCTGAGGATAATGTCCCTGCTCTTCTTCAAAATGCTGCCATGGGGCCTGTTATATACATCTGAGGGGGCAGATGAATTCTGAAGAAGAGTCATACAAGTCTCAGAATGTTTAACTCTCTTTCCCTCTCCACAGATGCTGCCAGACCCACTGTGCTTCTCCAGCACTTTCTGTTTTCTATTTAGGACAGATGGAGCCTTGGTTTGATGCCTCATCCATAAGTTGGTACCTTTGACACTGCAACCCTCCCTCAGTACTCACACTTGAGATATTTACCCTTAGTGGGACTTGAACCACAAACATCCAACTCAAGAGAGTATAACTACTAAGCCGCACTGTACATTGTCATAAACTTTCTCTTGAAATAAATCTGCATTATATGAAAGAACAATCAAAGCACACAGTTTATTTTAAAAAGAAAAGATACTCAACATAGCCTCCGGTGTGCTGGATTTTACACTGAATGGATTCCTTAAGTGATGTTCTTACTCACCGTCCTCCACTAGTGGTGACATACTGGTGGTAGTGCTCTGTTTGAGCTGGCCAGTAATTCTCTGTCTGGTTGTGCCAGTACAACATGGTGTTTCTATGTATTTCCAGGGTGGAAAAGTTTCAAGGGCAACCAGAGGTTTGCTGGGTGTCTGAAGGAGCTGGAACCTGAGCATCCGCTCCCCTGTCCTTATATTCTGCAAGCTGTGCCTTTCAACAGGTGCAGTGGGAGGAGAGTGGGTGGAAAGTTCTACAGAGCAATTTGCATGCAAATAGAGGAGAAGCAGTCCCCTGGGGCACTGCAATAAAACAGTATTTCAGGTAAATGATCAGTCCACGCCCAGTGAAAACCTGGTCCCAGCCCAAAATATTGCTGCGACAGCTTAACTCAAATCCCCAGAAACAAGAAAGTTTCAGTGCTGCATTTTACAAAGAAGAATACTTTGGTTTTGGATTGAATCTAATTTTTGATTTTCTCTTCATTTTGTCCTGAGGTCACAGATTATTTTGGCAATATTGGCAGAGAAGCGTTTTATTTTATGCACTTCCTGCTATTTCCACAGGGAAGCTGAGTAGTTGAAACTCAGTTGGTAAATTAAGTAGGAGTAGGACGAATGTTAAGTTCTTAACCTTTTATTTTGAGTCTATAGATCTACTGTCCTTTTGGATTCATATTTCCTCCATCTCATCATTTCTAATAGATCCTTTACTTGCCTAAATGTCCCCTGGAAGTTATCCTCTGCCCATCGTGTGTTGGTGATTACGCTTCGGAAACTGCATCAGAAAGCTTTTAAGATCCTGTCTAGGACCACAGCATATAAACCAATACTACCGTGCAGCACTGAGGGAGTGCTGCATTGTCGGAAGTGCTTCCTTTGGACTCGAATGTTAAACCAAGAAACTAGAAGCAGGAGTAGGTCATTCAGCCCTTTGAATCTGCTCCACCCTTCAATATAATCATGGCTGATCATCCAACTTAGCACCCTGTTCCCGCTCTCTCCCCATACCCTTTGTTTGATCCCTTTAGTCCTAAGAAATATATCGAATTCCTTGTTGAACACATTCAATGTTTTGACCTTAACGGCTTTCTGTGGCAGAGAATTCCACAAGTTCACCATTTTCTAGGTGAAGAAATTTCTCAACATCTTAGTCCTAAATGATCCTTCCCGGATCCTTACACTGTGACCCAAGGTCATTAGACCATGCTTTTGGGAATCTGATTACGTATCTTGTTTAGTGGCTTGTGATTGCATTTTGTTTGATAAGGTTATTGTGAACATGCCTGAGATGTTTAACTATGTTAATGATCTGTACAATTGCAAGTTGTAATGAGCTCTAGTGCTTGCTAGTTGTCACGGTGGGTAAAGAGCAAATTAGGCTATGAGCTGCACAGTGCAGAAGATCCAAATTTGATTCCAAGTCTGGGCTAGAAATTGATTCCAAGTCTGGTTTTCGATTGGCAACTGGGGTTACAGCAACTACCTGAAAAGTTAGCGAATGATCAAGTTCCTGACCATCATCCCACTGGAAAATTCTATCTGTGTTGACATGCGAGTGATGGTAAGTTTAGCCTTGATGCTTCACATGGTGGAACAATATGCTGAAACTCTACTGGACACACTTGATGATATGTTTGAGTGAGGTATCAGCAAGGTCCAGGGCCCTGTGGAACTGTGTCTTATCCAAATGCTCCACCTCGACAAAAGCTAGTGCCAGCCAGCTCCTCTGTCTCCTGGTGGAGCAACACCTCAGTTTGGAAATTCTCATCCTTGTTTTCAGATCCCTGTGGCCTCATTCCTCCCTAAGCTGAAGCTTCCTTCAAGCTCACTATTCTCCCAGGAATATGCTTCTCAAATTCTGGCCTCTTGGTCATCCCTGAATTCAATAGTTCCACCAATGGCAGCCACGACCTAATCTCTCAGACTCCCTGTGTAAAAATTCCACCTGCCTTTCTTCCTCTTAGTGATAGAGCCTTCAATCTTCTACCCTGGTAGCTCCTGGTGTTGCTCCTCCACCTTGGAACGCCAATGCAAATTCTCCACATCTTCTCTGTTCCAAGAAAAACAACTGCAACTTCTCTCATCCATCCACATAAATAAATCTCTTGTCCTTGGGATTCGAGTAAATCTCCTTTGCACCCCACCCCAAGACTCTCACATCCATCTGTCATACCCAGGATTGAGAGAAACAATCCAGCTGGAGTATTTTGTATCCAGAAAATGTCCAGTGAATAGCACATGCACCTCAGGATATAGTTTTGAAAATGGTATTTTGTTCTTTGTTGCAAGTTCCTTGCCATTTCCCCACAATGGGTCCTCCTACAGCATTTAGACTGCAGTGACTGAAGAAGACAACTCAGTACCATCTTCTCAAGGATAATATGTTCTGGCCCAGCCATTTACACCAACATTCCACAAGAGTATAAAGAACAAAACCTTCCCTCCAACCCCACATCCTCTCATTTTATAAGTGAACCAACTGCTTTAGTCAAAGAGAAACTGATTGACTTTTAACTGCTCTCAGACAGGCCAAGTAAGTCAGTCATTCAGTTTCAAGAGTAATTAGGGATTTCTTTTATTCACACATGGACATCGCTGGCTGCCTGTCGCTAGTTGCACTTAAGAAGATGATGGAGGGCCTCCTTGAACTGTTGTAGTCCGTGTGCTGTAGGTAGACCTACAATGTTGGTGGGGAGGGAATGGCAGGACTTTGATCCAGTGAAACTGGAGGAAGAGCAATATATTTCCAAGTCAGAATGGTGAGTGTCTTGGAGGAGAACTTGCAGGTGGTGGTATACCCCTTATATCTGCTGCCCTTATCCTTCTAGATGTTGGTGGTTTTGGGTTTGGAAAGTACCATCTAAGGAACCTTGGCGAATTTCTGCAGAGCATCTTGTCGATGAGCAACAAATGCTGTCTTGCCAACAACACCCACGACCCATATTTTCTATTCACATGTGGGACATGGGCATCACTATTCGGACCAGAATTCGTTGCCTGTTCCTAGTTGCCCTTGAGAATGAAAGAACAAAGTAAAAAGCAACACAATAAAACCAAAAATGTTCTGAAAATATAAAGATTATTGTTTGGCGAGGAGTCCTTATTTTTAAATACACTTAATTGGACATGTGACGACATATGTCTGTGGCAGATGAGATTTGAACCTGAACCTTCTTGCCCAGAGGGTGGGCACTACCATTGTGCTGTAAGACACCTCCAAAAAATATTTTAATCAACTTGTCATACATCGTATGATATGCCTCTGTGGCAGGCGAGATTTGAACCTTTCTGGTTCTGGGGTAGGGGCAACGCCACTGTGCCACAAGACCCATAAAGCACAGCCTGCGCCATCTGGGAAATGAACCCAGTTAGCCAGAATGGAAACCTTACATGATACCACTACTCCAGAGTCCATTACTGTCACTCAATAGTGACATAACTAGTGATTCTGGCTGCTTCTTCATCTCTACTGATTTGTACATTATACAACCTCTGAAGTATGACTTGGGTTTGCCTGCTTGGTAGTTTTCCTTGCTCAGGAATCTGCTTCTTCTGACAGGTTGGTTTGGCAAATGTGAAGTTCAAAGTAGAGTTTGGAGTCAACTCCCATTGACACCCAGTGGGGTAACAGTTAGCTGTTTTCCCAGAATCAAACTTTCATGGCACTCCCTGAATGGGTACCAGTCACTGATCCCCAACAATAACCACCCACCTCTGCCGGAAAGTGCTCACAGATTGATATTTGCTGAGGAGGATGGGTGAGCACAGGAGGGTAGGAATGAGGTGGATGCAACATGAGACTGTCGTCTAAAGTTCTAGAATGTCCATGGGCAGAAAATGGTTACTTGGAAAGTTAGAGAACCTCTGATCTCAGGAGGATCCAGAATCTTCTAGAGGGATAGGAATATTGGAGAGAGAAGTTATAATGGGTAGTGCATGCAGGATAATGATCATTTATCATAATTTTTGAATTGACACTGCTGCTACACCTCATTCTTGCTGAATAAAGTAAACAGAACACTAGTCTTCTGATTTGGAAAAATGCTTTTGCCATTTTCTGGCTTACATGGAAGGGTTATTTCTATAAGGTGTCATCCCTTTTAAAAAGGACTCTGGGATCTGCTACAATGATCTATTGAACAGTGGATCTATGCAGTGGAATCAGCATGTTCCGCATGATTGTGCTGAAGGGTAAACATAGCAGGTATTTACATCCAAATAATAGGTATCAGGTTTTAAATATCAAACAACTCTTTCTCTAAACTTGGAATTACCATGTGATACAGCTTCATGTAGAAAGTATCACAAGAGACAGGAAAGCTCCTTCAGCTGGATGTTTAAGTGTGCAGCTTGGAAGAGACTTCCCTTACCTGAAGGTATTCGCGCATGTTGTCCAGTGGTTAGCCAATTGTCCATTTAGCCAGTGTGAGCCCAGGCATTGGCTCCTCTTAGGACATTTGGCCACATTGAAACTGAACCCAATTTACATCCAATGTGGAGATTTTGTGTTGGGGGCCATTGAGTGCTGACCAGGAGCAGGAATTCATTGCACCAGCCTGAGGCCAGTTTACAAAATGGATGAGATCATGTAACAGAGACTTTGAACTGCATGCTTCATCACAACAGTACCATCATCAATAACTCAGTTGTCTGTAATCACTCACTAAATGGTGTGATTGTCCACTGTGTCATTGTTGATAGGTTCTGTGTGTCCTTGTGTGGCTGATAAACCTGATCCTAGAGTCTCATCTCCATTCACACATTTGGCAGCTGTTTCTGGGAGGTGGGATTGGTTCTTGGCCTTGAGATCATTAGCATTCCTTTCTTCAGATCCTTTTCTGTACTTCCTCCTGATGAAGTTCTCAAAAATTGTGTTTCTTTATAAAGGAGGTTCCTCCAAGTCAGTTTCCTCTGAACAAGGATCTTCCACAGATTAACTTCTATGTTACATTTCTTGAAAGAAGCATGCATAGAGTCTTTGAAACTCTTCCTTTGTCCTCCTCTTGTTAAAGTTCCTTCCTTAAGCTGCACAAAGATTTGCTTTGGTAGTCAGGACGCAGGCATCCTAAGCATGTGGCTGGCCCAGTGGAGTTGGTTTCAG